CTTTTAATTCCCTTGCCAAAAAAGACAAAGCAGGTCTCTTCTTGTCGACTGGAGCCTTCTTTTCGTGAAGTTGGAGGGGCCGGTCTGCTATTTTGGGGTGGGGCCCTTTTCTTTCTTTCGCAATACTACTACGTCGGAGGAAGCTTTCTTGTTGTTGAGGACGGGGTATAGAACTTATACGTTGTTTGGAAGACGGAGGGAGCTCTGTCAATATCTACTAGTAGCGTGCTCTCTTCCGTCTTTTTAAGATTAGGATGAAGACTTTGCAACAGGTAAAGGAGCTCTCTTCTAGAAAGAAGCTTTCTTCTCTTACCAAACGTAACTTGGAGTGAGCTCTGTTCTTGTCTCAGAGGATGAGGTAGAGGGCTTCTCATGTTCCTTTCAAGGCCGCAAGGAGGACTAGACTTCCCTTGTCAAGGTTTGAAGTTTGGAGCTTGATCGTAAGCTCTCTTCCATGTTTTGAAGAGGAGGAGGAGATGTTCGGGAGCTTGCGCCTTTGCCAAAAAAGGGAGCCGGAGGTAAAGGAGCCCTCATCTTTGTCGTGAACTTGGAGGGAGTTTTTCTTGCTTCTCATGACGAAGTAGAGAACTCATACATTGTTGGGCTTGTGGGGTGGGTTCTCTTCTCTGGATTGAGACTCGGGTTACCTAGCGGCAAAGGAGGTCCCTTCTAGAAAGAAGTTCTCTTCTCTTTCCGCGAATGACTGGGGGGAGCTGTCTTCATGGAACAGCATGGGGTGGAGGAGCACTCTTATCCTTTTGAAACTTCAGGGAAGGACCAGACTTCTTTGTTTGAGGGTTGGAGGGAGCTCCACCTTTCTTCTTGAGCACGACAAGCTCTGTTCCATGTTTTGAAGAGGTAAAGGGGTAGTCAGGATCTCCTTCTCTTACCTAAATAGAAAGGAGGTCGCCTTTTGCCGACTTAGGGGTAAACGGAGTTCTCTTCTTTCTCGATATCTTGGTGGGGCCTGTTTGTCGTTCTTCGAGACGACGCTCTCTTCTGTCTCATTAGATTGGAGGAAACTCTAGGTCTCTTCTTGTCGAGCATGAGGCAGCGGGCTCTTCTGTTTGGAAGCCAGGGGAGCTAGGAGCTCTTCCTCCAACGCGAGGTAAAGGAGCTCTCTTCTTGCCGACCAAGACGAAGAGGAGCTCTTTTCTGTTCTCATTTCATTGCAGCGAGCTATCCTAGTGTTGTCCTTGATGAAGTAAAGAACTTATGCATAATTGTTGAAATCAACAATAAGAGGCGACTTAGCAAAAGATAATGGAGTTGTTTTCTTCAAAGAAGTTTTCTTCTCTCGAGTAACGCGGAGGAAGCTCTGTTCTTGTTTTGGAGCATGAAGTAAAGGATTTATCTTGTCGTTGTTGAAGGCTGGGCAGAGGGGGCGAGGACGAGATAGTCAGGAGCTCTCTTATTCCCGTAGCCAAGAGAGAAAGGAGGTCTTTGCCTGGCGACGGGAGCGGTAAACGGAGCTGTCTGCTACTTGTCTGCTATTTTGAGATGGGGCCCTTTTCTTTCTCAATACTACTACGTTGGAGGAAGCTTTCTTGTTGTTGAGGGCGGGGTATAGAACTTATACGTTGTTTGGAAGACGGAGGGAGCTCTGACCATATTTACCGGTAGCGTGCTTACCTTGGTGTGCTTAAGATCAGGATGAAAAACCTTGCAAAAGGTAAAGGTGCTCTTTTGTAGAAAAAAGCTCTAATCTCTCTTTTGGTAACTTGGAGAGAGCTCTGTTCTTGTCTCAAAGGATGAGGTGGAGGGATTTTTGATGTCGCTTTGCAGGCCGCAGGGAGAACCAGACTTCCCTTGTCAAGGTTTGAAGTTTGGAGCTTGATCGTAAGCGCTTTTCCAAGTTTTGAAGAGGAGGAGGAGATGGTCGGGCGCGTGCGCCCCTGCGAGAGAAAAGGAATCTTTCTTCTTGTCGACAGAGAAGTCAACAGAGCTCTCTTCTTGCTCAAGAAATCAGAGGGGCCTCTCTTCTGAGTTGTTGGGTTCAGGACCCGGCAGAGGATTTTTTCTTTTACCAACGGATGAAGGAGCCCTCGTCAACTTGGAGGGAGCTTTTTCTTGCTTGCCATAGCGAGGTAGAGAACCTATACATTGGTGGGGGGTTTCTGTCTTTTCTTACTAGGAGTGAGATCTCTTCACTCTTCTCCGGATTGAGACTCGCGGCAAAGGAGTTCTCTTCTAGAAACAAAGGAGTTCTCTTCTAGAAAGAAGTTCTCCTCTCTTACCGCGAATGACTGAGGGGAGCTGTCTTCATGGAACAGCATGGGGTGGAGGAGCACTCTTTTCCTTGTGAAACTTCAGGGAAGGACCAGACTTCTTTGTTTCAGGGTTGGAGGGAGCCCCACCTTTCTTCTTGAGCATGACAAGCTCTCTTCCATGTTTCGAAGAGTGAAAGGGATAGTCAGGGTCTTCTTCTCTTACCTAAACAAAAAGGAGGTCTCTTCGTGCCGACTGAGCGGTAAGCGGAACTTTCTTTTCTTGATATCTTGGAGGGGCCTAGATTGGAAGAAGCTCTCCGTGTCTTCTTGTCGAGCATGAGGTAGAGGGCCCTTGTCTAAATTTCGATATGTATATATGTATGGCTGTAGATACATATGTTTGTTTAGGATACATGCACAAATACTTTGGCCGCATGTTTTAGCATGTCATATATAATCCGTACATATGTATGTGCCCTCTCTCTCTCTCTCTCTCTCTCTCTCTTTGTTAGCATATGTATATACAGAAATAATATACATATATCAATAGATATATACATATATATATATATATATACATACATACATACATACATATATACATACATGCGTACATACATAATTATGTCAGCTGTGTATTGTGATACAGCTCTGTGTCGTCTACATATGTACGTAGCGATGCATATACACATATCGTGACACATGCATGTTCTAACGTAGGCAGATGCGTCGGTATTTCTCACGGTTTCGCACGCATAGTAGGCTGGAGCCCCGTAATTGTTGCGAAAATGAAGCCAGATCCGAAGTCAACGAGAGAAGATTGGCGGTAGTCCCAAAGAGCTAAAAGCTTATGCTTCAGAAGGAAGGATTGGTTCCGGAAACCCCTAAACCGCCACGATTGAAGGGTGTTAAAAACGTGGACCCCTGAAGGAGTGGCTAACCGACTAGCCTTTAAGGCACTAGATAGATAGATAGATAGTTAGATGATAGATAGATAGCTAGATAATAAGACAAGCAAAAAGGTAGAGGGATAGATAGACGGATAGGTCCGCAAATAAGTAGTTGGTCTGTATGTGATGGCACATACATGTTCAGATGCGCATGGAGCTGCGCGGAATCGCACGCACGGTAGCCCGGCCGCTGCCCCGTAATTGGAGTGAAAACATGAGGCCAGATCCCAAGGCAACAGGCGAAGATGGGTGGTAAACCAAGACATGAAAGTCTACGCCTCAAAAGGAATGATTGGTTCCGAAAACCTTAAGCCGCTTAGATTGAAGGCACGGTGCCAAAAGAATCAAAAAGATAAACCCGAGACTGGGTGGGCCACACTGGTGAACCAAGCTAGGAGATTATGAGTGGTAAGTTCGAAACCCACCAAGAAATGGCAGGCTGCTGAGCGTAGAGCTGACATAAATTCCAACACAGATTGGTTGCTTCCCTAAGCCCAACACCCTCAATCGAGTGGCTGGTTTCTACCATCCGATCCATATCAGAACCTGATGTAGGAGTGGATGGTGGCCCAAAAACCCAATCGGATATCATGAAGTGAAGAATCGAAACGTTGATAAGAGACCATGACGTGGCGGTATACATATATACATACGCGGCAGACGCGCCAGAATTTCCAACGGTTTCGCACGCAAAATAGACTGGCACCCAAAATGAAGCCAGATCCGAAGTCGAGGAGAGAAAATTGGCGGTAGTCCCAAAGCGCTGAAAGCTTAAGCTTTAGAAGCAAGGATTCGTTCCGGAATTCGCCAGCCTCAAACGCACTAGGTAGACAGATAAATAAATGGAGAACAAGATAAGCAGATAGGTAGATAGATAGATAGATAGATAGATAGGGTAGGTAATTAGACGGATAGATTTACAAATGAATAGGTGGTCTGTATGTAACGTTACATACATTTTCAGATGTGAGGCCAGATCCCAAGCCAACAGGCGAAGATGGGTGGTAAGCCAAGACATGAAAGTCTACGCTTCAAAAGGAATGATTGGTTCCGAAAACTTTAAGCCGCTTAGATTGAAAGCACGGTGCCAAAAAATCAAAAAGGTGGACCCGAGAAGGGGTGGGCCACACTGGTGAACCAAGCTAGGAAATGATGCGTGGTAAGTGCGTCACCAACCCCAAGCAGAGCTGACCTAAAATCCAACACAGATTGGTTGCTTCCATAAGCCCAACACCCTCAATCGAGTGGCTGGTTTCTACCATCCGATCCATATCAGAACCTGATGTAGGAGTGGATGGTGGGACAAAAACCCAATCGGATATCATGAAGCGCGGAACCGAAAACCCAGGTAAGGGACTATGAAAACGCTAAAAGAGCGGTTGATTGTCACGAGAAAATGAATGGAAAACCTGAAGCCGAAAAGGCAGAAACCTGAAAGGAATGCATGAACCGCAAAGACTGAGAGAAGTTTGGTACAACCAGGAAGCCCAAAAGGAGTGGACATGGCGGCAAAGAGTGCGCCAGAGGCGCGTAAACCCGCAAAGACATGCCTAACCCCAAAAGCAGTGGGCCAGCCTTGAACTTCAAGCGGAATGACTCTATTGAGTGATGGTACATGGCAAGCCAGCGACGTTCAAATGTGGGGAGATGTCGTTGAAAATCTAGAACAAAGAGCTTCTTCAATCGTTGTGTGAGTATATTTACCGAACGGTAGCTTCCAAATAGACCCGGTTTTCCTCAGCCCCCCCCCCCCCCCCCCCCAGATATTGACATCTAACTTGCCATGCACTCAAGACTCAAAGCCCACACATTGTCCAAGATCACATCAGCCAGAAGTGGCCTTGAGGTCAGCGTCTCCCGCCAGGTGCCGCATGGACGAAGCAAGACCATGCACCAATTCGGGGCATCGCTGCTCCAAGGCAACTGCACAGCGTGCCAAGTAGACCAAGCCTCAGTTGCTAGGCTCGGCTTAATGCAGGGGCCTTAGTAATTAGAATAGGGTTTTGGGCCCCTTTAATAGTACACTGTACATAATATTGGTAATTATTTCGGCCCCTCCAGGAAGGGCTCTCATGGAAACCCTCAGATGCCTGCGCTTGCTCCTCTCACTCTAGGACTCTACGACCGAGCTGCCGTCGCATGCCTTCAGCACGAAGGGCCGGCGGCGTTGCAAGGTTTCCATATCCGCCCCGGCACTCCGGTCCAGGCAAACTTCCAGGATGTAGGGCCTGCTCTAAACTTACCGTTGGTTACTATAAGGGATCTATAAGGGTACTATAATATAGGGGCCTTAATAATCCTATAGCTTACCTTTGGTTCGTAGGGAATGGAGGAATGGGCTACAATTATAACTACTATTACCACCTTACTACCATTCTTCCATTCCCTACTAACCAGCGGTAAGTAAAGCGATGCAGCGGACGGCAACTGTCTGGTGCTTAAGAACCAGACAGGCAAGGAAGCGCTGATGGCAATACACCCTAAACCCTAAATCCTAAAAACACTAAACCCCACACTCCAAATCCGAAACCCTACACCCGAAACCCTAAAAACACTAAAAACACGAAACCCCAAACCCCAAATCCGAAAAACCCGAAGCCCTAAAAGGTCCTGTCATTCAGCATGCCCACGAAGAGCTCAGCCACTGCTCTGTTTAAGGAGGCCCCTCTGTAAACTCATCTGTCTGGTTCTGAGTGGGGAATGGGGGAATGACTACTATAAGGGCTCTGAAGGAACTACTATAGGGATCCATTCCCCCATTCCCTACTAAGCACCAGACAGTCATGTGGTACCCAGAGAGCCCAAGACCCCTTTTTTTACGGGATAGGGGCTCCTTTGAAAGGGATCTTTAGGGTTTGGCGTTTAAGAATCCCTTAGTTAAGCTACATGCCTTAATTAAGGGGTATTGGGCTCTCTGGGTACTGGGGCTTTGGGGTGAGAACCTCCAAGTCAATGAAACTCGTTCGGCAAACTGTCCTCCACCGCAAGAGATCAGCCAGCACCTTGGACATTTCTGGACATGCATCGTCGACATCGGACAAACCGTTGCATGAGCGACCATCTCTGTCCACGGCCGTGGAAAAATCAACGACGTGCTGCAAAGTGTACCTGAACACAGCCGAGGCAAGCTTGGGCAGTCGGGGCGGGTGTCACGTTGCAGCAAAGCCACGTCGGAAGCATCCACTTCTGCGCGGAACACATCCTAGCCAGACGGATTATGAGCATCTGCCACGACTCCAAGGGACGAAACTCGTGAAGGCGTGAGGTGGCATGTAGGCAACTAGTCACCAACAGAAAACCGGCTCCTGGGCGCGACTTATACGGAATCGGCTTCTTTGGTATCAAGGTCTATGTGAAGATGTCGCTGACAAGGGCTTCGTCCCTGCAGGCCAAGGCACACATGCAGCAAACAAATCAGCTGCACCCAGTGATACGATGCATGTGTGGCAGCTGTTGGGTTGCCGAGCGTTAAGCGCTACCACAGGTTCATCTGGGAGTTTCCGAAAATTAGGGGTACCTTATCTGGGGTCCTTATAATAAGGATCCTACTATTTAGGGTACTATATTAAGGTTCCCTATTTTCGGAAACTCCCATCTTTGGTTCTTGCTAAATGGACGAACAATCGTGGATACCAGCGCTGTGTCGAATGGGTGAGGCGACGGCCACCGACTGCTACTGACCCAAGCCGCTCTACTTGGAGGATCAATTGGACTTATATAGTAAGTACGGTTCTGGGTCCCTTAATTTGTGTCGTAAGTAATTACAAGTATAGTTACCTTAATATAATTACCTTAATTAAAACCTTAATTCGTAAGTCCCATGATCCTTTAGGTAGTACCGCAGCCTGAGCCGATCGCCCAGGACGGGAGCGACACAACCACTGAGCGCCATACTCGTTTGCGTGGCTGGGCTCAGCAAAAAGCAGCCGACAGGGCACAAGAAGTCTCAACGCAGCTTACCAGTAGCTTCAGGCCAGGTCAGGAAGGAAGCAGAATGCTCGGGATGACCCTTGAAGCATTGACTCAAAGGATGCTGAAGGAGATGACTTGTCAGCATGGAGCCGCTTGTTCCGATCGCGCATCGTTAAGCCCCAAACTCGGCATTAGGAGACTCGTTGGCTGCTACCCGATACCGACCTGTGCGATAGTCTGGAGGTAGCGGACGACTTCGGTGCTGAGATTCCCTTCTTTAACATGTCTGATGATGAATCTGCAGATCGTCCTGCGCACGTCTCTGTTCTGGCAACAACTTCCAAGCACCCTGGGCAAACCATGGAAGTCCAGGTCATTTTCTTGAATGGTACCCCCGGTTCCTGAACGAAATAAAGCCATCCTCTACAGCACTGCATCATCAGCAATAGCTACGCTAGTTTGTCAACGACACCGAGATGGACAAGGAGTGCCAGCTTACGGGTGAAAGATCGGCGTGAGGGAGCGACCAGACATGGCGGTGCGGGGTCGTGCAGTGCGTCGATCTGTCATGTCGAGACTGCAAATGTGAAAGTTGTTGAACATGACAACATGGCGCTGTTGTTGAGCATGACAAGGTTGTGAAATGGTGTGCGCACAGGGCTCCACCCGTTAGGGTTGCGCTACGGGGTGCGGCACACCGTCACTGCTCGCGAGATTATCTGCTTTGTCGGTGGCTTTTGGGTTCCGGGGTTGACCTTGCTTGCAGTACAGGCACATGCCGAAACATCCACACGTTCCTTACCTGGCTCGTGCTGTGCGCAAAGCGTACACTCAGTGAGGCAGACGACCCCTGGTCGAGGTCGAGTCAAACTTCGATCCAGCGGAGGGTGATGGAGAATGGGTGTTCTCAGCCTTCGAAAGCGAAGGCTCTTGCTGACCGCCGATTGCCACACGAAGAAAGACGAAATCTTCAATGTGAGAACATCGACGTACCGATGTTGCTTGAGTGCTTCAGGAGTTCCGACTGGGCCGCTCAAACAGACTGCTCGTGCCTTCCTTCATAAGAGTCCGAATCTCTGGCTACACTCCACTTACGAGCGCTCCACATGTATCTTGTTACATGGCTCTGCATGCGGCGCTAGGACAGATGCCGGATGCACGCCCTGAGCGATATGCAGGAAGAGCAGCACGATCGACTGCAACCCTGCCTGCTGCTGAATCTCACAAGACCATGGCGCTTCAGATGCCGCGGCGTGCAGGAACCTTGAGGCTCAGGACGACAAACCTGAGTTAAACGTCGCCTCTCTTGTCCAGCCTCTGCTCAGTGCTTGCTGTCTTTGCAGCTCCTCCATCCTGGCACAACATGGGGCCTTAAGAGACATTCAAGAAGCTCCGTTTCTGTAAGCGCGATGCTGAGAAGTCAGCAGCGAATTTCGCTGCTCGCCAGTGGGCTGAGCTTGTGACTCCTGCAGAACAGCAGTCCTGAACAAAATGCAAACCAACTGGTGCCAAGAATTCCTTGAAGTCTGGCACCGGCTGCGGCTGCACTGCAGCCTCCAACGACTCTTGCATACGACCGGTGCGAGAATAGCAAGCACTTCCCCGCGGACCTGACATCGTGCTTCATGGCGCCGAAGCGCGACGCCAAAACCGCGGAGGCCGAGCCAGCCCACATTTCGGCCGCAGTGCCGGCCTGCAGTGGGTGTTGAGTCCCTTTGCGGACACTCACTCTGGCCTCGCATCTCGGCTCCCGACAGATACAGCGTTCGCAAGGTGCCATTGCTAAGAACAAGTGCAGACACACTTCTCGTCCAGCCCTTGCAGTATCATACGTGATGCCCAATGTGCATAATTAACTAGCAGCTTCTGCAAGTCTGCAGTGTTCTGCCGCGAACGGCTTTAGGATGTAGTCAAGTTGAGAAACCCTGCCGTGCACCTCAAAGTAGCTAGAGCTTCTTCTGACAGCTGCGCAATGAGGAGCTGCACATATCCTATCCTTCGACGACTTCGCGGGTCGAGGCTGGTTGGAAAAAACCGTACGTCTTGTAGGCCCGACCCAGACCCAAGATCCTGGACCATGACATGCCACTTTTTTTCTTCGCAACATCTGCCAATGCTGCGCATCGAGCGTGCTTCGGACGTAACGACCTAAGTGCAGCTGCCAACGTCCGAGAACCTTTGGGTTCGGCGCTGTGACGGTCAAGTGTTTAAAGATTTTGTCGCGCAACAGACTCAGGGCATTACAGTGAATTTCGATTTTTAAACAAATCACGTGCTTCCTACACCCTAAGCCCTACAAAGTTAAGATTTTGCTTTTTCTCGAAAACCTCTCAGGGGTTGAGTTCTCGATTAATACTCCAGCGCGAAGGCCGCGATACCGGACCATCTCTTGACGGGAGAGATTTGGAAGACAAGACGGTGGATGGTTGTTTTGGGCGGTGTGGGTGGTGTGCCGGTGCACAAGATTATTTGTCGGGTGGCATGGTAGCTGTAGACATTGTAGACATAGACGGACTTGGACCTGAGTGTTGGAATGACAGGAGCAGAGGGGTCAGACTGCGGGTTGGTGCGAGCAAAGGAGGTGAGGCAGTGAATGATGGGAGGGGAGGGGCACAAAGGGTGGAACGCGATATCTCTTGTGCGGGCAATGTGCAGGTGCCGGACGTGGACAAGAGGTGGGGCGGAGCGCGATATCGGGCTGCGCGCTTGCGGTATGCAGGTGGGGCGTGGACAAGGGGTGGAGAGCGATATCGATATCGGATGTGTGTGCTGGTGCGTGAGTATGGCGTGGCGGGTGGGTGGGGCGGGCACAAGGGGTGGAGCACGATATCGGGTGCACGTGCCGTGCGGGGCGCGGACAAGAGTGGAGTGCGATATCGGGTGCGCAGACGGTGCGCGGGTGGGACATGGACAAGGAGGGTGACATAAGATACTTATAAAGCAACACGTTTACGTGGTCATTTAAGCCCACCTATAAGTCGGAAAATTTTTTTTGGGTCGCGACAAAGTAAGCTGTGTGGAAACCGGCTGGTTTGATCATGAGCTTCGACGAAATATAAAGGTTACAAATGAGGAAATGACAAAAGTCGAAAGATCAGCTTCTTTTCAGAATTCAGAATGTGTTTATTGACGTCTCGTTGCCAGCCCGCATGAATACAGCTGACGCAACAGAAACAGAACAGAACGCAACAGTGAGTAGAGTTATAGGTACGTCAAAACAAGCTGTTGCCTTCGGTTAGTTACTGTTCCTTGGAGCATCCCCGGAAAGGGGCCAACGAACAAGATGCAACAGGTGTTGGGCAATGTTTTTGGGCCCGGACTGACGCAACAAACGCAATAGACGTGGATTATTGGAAAGCAACATTAACGCATCAGATACAGATACGCGACAGTCGCCCTGCAACCAAAACACAAAAACACCATGTGCTGTTTGCGGTGTCAGAAAATTAGAAAAGCCAAATTGCTTGCAAGGCAGAGAGCCACGTCGGACTTTTTGCAAACTCTGCAAAATCTGGCATACAAGCATAGCTAGCACTGAGACTAAATCTGTCTTGACTGCTGAAACCTCTTGATACATCGACTTAAACCGTTTTACATGTAAGAACAAGTGCAAACGAAAATTTCATCGATTCCGGACAACTTGATATCTCAATGAGCATGTAACCCAACCAAATGAAATCGATGAGTCGCTCCGCTGGCTTTGATTGCCTTGCACTCAGTGGCACACTGGGGTTGACAGTCATGCAGGACCTCGTCCTTGAAAAAATGAACAAACTTCTCACTTTTGCAAGTACTCTGAGCCTGCATGTTACGTCAGTCGTTCACTTTGCATGCTCCAAGTAGAAAACTACATAAGTGGTCAACAGCTACAAAACTGTTCTAGCAAAATAAGAGTACAGGGCATAGAGGAATGTTGATCACCCCGCCCGGACATCCACAGTAACGTAGACGGCCAGAGGTTCGCATCAACATACGGAGCACGATGCATCACAGTAGCGACCACTTTCGACTACACTACACGGTTCAGCGTAGCTATGACCTACGGTCGTCTGTACACTGCACACATTCCATCAAAGGCTGGGACAGCCGATGACGAAATGTTCAAGGGCAAAAATTCATGGCGAATCATGCATCACGCTTGGCGTCGATGTCCGGAACATCTGAAGCTTCATTTTGCATGTCTTGCTGCTCTCGATTGCTTCAGCAAGTGCAATCCACGCTTTTTTTGGCTTGACTGGGCCTCGTCGACTACGGCTGTAGCACTCGGTCCCTACAAACAAGCGAAACTACAAACCAAGCAACAAACTACAACAAAGCGGTGAAACAGCAAAGCGAAGCTCTACCAAGGCTGCGGCGCACAGGCTTTGCCGGTGTTAGCCGTTCAGCACAAACTACGGAGCCTCAGCGACCGGTCAGGAGCAACAAAGAGCCGTCGCTCAGAGCTGCCCAAAACAACAGGTGGAGCCAAGTCCAGGCTCCGGTTGCAGTTCTAGTCTCGCCAGACAACGGACAACCCCTGTGTTTTGTTCCGTCACGATCGTGCACACCAAAGTCCAAAGTCCACAGTCGGATGACGTAAGGTGAAGGCATCCAGGCAGTGAGAGCCAGCTAAAGGTGACAGAAGCGGCGTTCTTGCTCTTACTAACCGCAACATATACCGATGGTGACGCGACTAATGCCAGGCAGTGACGACGACCTACGACAAAGCAGAGCCCAAACACGAGGCCGTAAGAGAAGCAGCGTTCTCGCGCTTACTAACTGCAACCTTGCAACCAGTTGAGAAAAGACACGGACCAAGCAGACGCTAGAGGCGAGCGTGCAGAAGTAACAGAAGCGGCGTTCTCGCTCCTAACCGCAACATAAACCGATGCCAAACTCGAAGCCGTAAGAGAAGCAGCGTTCTCGCGCTTACTAACTGCAACCTTGCAACCTGTTGAGAAAAGGCACAGACCGAAACAGACGTTAGAGGCGGGCATGCAGAAGTGGCAGAAGCGACGTTCTCGCTCTCACTAACCGCAATCTTCACCGAAATGTCACGACCAATTCGGACGGAACCGCGCAACGACAAAGTAGAAGCCAAAACCCAAGGCCGAAAAGTATGATTCACGAGGCCAGCTATCGTCAAGCGAACGGTTAGACCAGAGCGGGGTCGGAAATCGAACACCAGTGTTCGAACCTGGGGTCCAAACACCAGTGTTCGAACTCGGAGTTTGAACACTGTGTTCGAACCCGGAGTTCAACTCTTTTTTTTTTGGCGTGAATAGGGCTTCGTCGACTACGGCTGTAGCACTCGGTCCCTACAAGCAAACTAACAAACTGCAAAGCACAGAACTACAAAACAGTGAGACAAAAGCGAAGCTCTGCAGGCTTTGCCGGTGGAAGCCGTTCAGCAAACTACGAAGCCTCAGCGACCGATCCGAAGCAACAAAGAGCCGTCGCTCTGAGCCGCCCAAAGCAGCAGGTGGAGCCAAATCCAAGCTCCGGCAGCCGTTCTAGTCTCGACAGACAACGGACAGCCCCTGTGCTTTGTTTCATCACGATCGAGCACACCAAAATCCAAAAGTCCAACGCCCACCGTGGCGAGCGGCTTCTATACATGATGCGGAGCCAGAGTCGTTGCGACTCAAAGACGGCCAGATGCGACCGCACCCCGAGGACGAAAACAATCGATCCACGGTGTGCAACAGTGGCGAATAGGACGCCGGCGTCCAACGCCGCCAATCCCCGCCCACAATGCGTGTGGCCAGGCCAGGATGCGGACCGTAGGGAAAAACTTGTTGTGCGTCGAGACCCAGCACAGCGCAACTGGAACGTTCCGAGAACGGCAACGGGTCGCCCATGACGAGGCTTGGGCCAAGGCAAGACGGTGCGGCTGCTCGGATGGGACGGGCCCCTGCCGCGACCTGATGCTGGTGGCTTGCGAGCTTGCACCCGGCGCAATCCTCCGTGCAGTGGCTCATTCCATTCCAACCCTTGTTGTTTTTTGCCCTGCTCGTTTGCCCAGGTGTCCGCTCGGCATGGCGGCTGGACTCGAGGCGCGCAGGGAAGCTGGGCAACATGGACGACGCGCCCGCAGCTGCAAAGCCGGGTTGCCGATGCCATGAAGGAAGCTGCACCTAGTCTCGGATATATTTGGATTCGTAACGACAGCGAAGACTATGACGGCACAGAGATCATTGTCATAGGCTTTTCTGGGCCTGATCCGAAAAGGGCCTGCCTCAGGGCCTTGGGCATCCTAACTGGTTCGGACGAGGGCTTGTTTACTGCAGCAACTGCAGCCAAGGTCCAGCAAATAGATATGAAGACGCGGTTGAGAAGCGGCTTCGACCGGGAGGCGGGTGAGGAAGAGAACCCGCTTGATGACAGCTGCACCAACTGTGTTCAAGGACAACTTGCGGTGTGCCGCAACCACGGAACAGGGCGGCCAAGGTTCCCCCCCCCGTCCGCTACAATGCGCAAAGTCAAAATCGGCAGGTGTGCAGACTGAGCGCACACGGTGTGTGTCGCCGATGCAATGCATGGGGGAAGCCAAATTGGGTCGCCCAAGACAGCCGAGGTCATGGTAAGAGTCTGGCCGTGCTGAGGCCAGCATCCACGCGTCCCAGGCTGCTTGGCGAGTGCAACAAGGCCCAACAAGGGATCCACCAGGCAGCAAATGCACCCTGCTGAGTGCAATAGAGGGAAGGTGCGGGG